CAAACAGAAATGAAAATTTCTATTTAGTTCCACTATTACTAATTATACTTAATTAAATATATACGTTACACAGCCGTCTGTATAATTGATAAATAAACATACAACGTCACGGAAAGCTTTAAGGCACACAGATCTCCACGGACAAAGCCCCCTGGTTCGACGGTTAATTAGCGAAGAAGAGAAGGAGATTAGCGATTTACCAGGCGTAATTTCGTGGACCACGGTTCAGATCGGCTGAACCGTGTCGAGAAGCACGGCGTGACCCACTTGCTTAAATGCTGGCGAAATAATATTCCGGTTGGAAGGGAGAATAGTCGTCGTCGTCGGCCGCGTTTCCATATGTACGAGTCGGGCTGCAATAATGCCCCGTCCGCAGACTCCGTTTTCTCTCCCAAACCCTCGCACTCTCTTTCTCTACTCCAGACCGTACACTTTTCTGAAACGAGGCTGCTTGACGATCGATCAGCTAGAGACGAGAGGCACCCTTTAACGACCTCGACAAATAGATAAATCATCCCCACGACCGAATTCCGCTGTTAATTTTTTAATGCCATATAGTCGATTCACGGTCACAAACGAAGGAAATTTACCCTGAGCATCTATTCAGAATCTCTCAACGAGAAAGGTCTTGACAAATTTGGAAGTAATATCGAAACGTTAATTAATTAAATGAAATTTAATTACGACGCGTGAGGACTTTCAATTAATTCTCCATCGTTCAAGGAACACGTGCAAAATTATTCGATGCAGCTGAAATTAAACACGCAGGATCGATCGAAGCTTCGACGAAAGCAACGAGGTCTCTCGTTTGTTTGTACCGATGGTAAAGTTACGAATTGAATTTTTCATTTCAAAGTGCAGAAAGGCAGAGAAGCACGACGATGCATCGTGTAATGACAAACGACGATGCACCTTTCCCGGCTGCAATCGCGCCACTTTTTCCTTTTTAATCCTCGACTCGAATACGGGCCGGGGAGCTGCGATGATTATTGTTGGCCGAATAATAGGGGAGCCGCGGCGCGGAAAACGCTTTCGCGGAGACGCTGCGCCACTTTGTTGATCAACGCGGAGCGCTCGAAACATGCTTTGTTTCGGCCTGCGACGAAATACGTATTTTTCTTCTTTTTTTCGCGAGAGAAGCTGGCGTTGAGATATCACCGAAAGTGAATCTTAACGAAGGGGTTTCAACGGTGAGGATCCTCTTACGTATCCACTTCGATAAATGATAGGGGTGATCAGGGTAAAACTGGGACCCTGAGAATATAAAATTTCATAACTCTGATATTAATAAGATAAGAAGGAAATTGAAATTGTGGTTTATTAACACTTTGATCCCGACCTTTTTAGAATTTATTATATTATATTTTTATTGAAATAACTAAGAAAATAACTACTTCATTAAGTTAAAAATGAAAAAAAAAACAACCAAAATTTGTATTTTGAATATTTTGGAGGACGATTAGCAAATCTCTGATATTCATCCCGACAGTTTTACCTATGACCCTTTTTTATTTTTTTCAGAACAGAATTCTAGTAGAGCATGATCCAAAAAAGGTTAGGACACACTGATCCAGATAACAAATTTCCCTATTTCTGCCCAAATGTAAATGTCGAATAACGCCGAGGGTAAAATATTCGAATACTCGTGATTCGTTACCATATAGTATATGGTACATACCATACCCTCCATAAAATTGTAACAGCTGTTCCACTCGGTCGAGCCGGGGGAGAAGTAAAAACCGACCGAATGGAATACCAGAGAAAAAGAAAGAGACGAATCCTCGACAAAGAGTGAAATTATTCCACGAAAACATCGGGGCGGCCGTTAATGACTCGTTTTTACGATGATCGTTCGTCCGGTTACATCGACGGTCTGCAGACGGTCTGCGGTGTGTATCTCATCGGGATGGAATTCGCATATTCCCCGAAGAGCGACCGACGAACCGCCGTAACACGTTTGTTTCGCGATCGCCCTGTGACTCACGCGGGACATTTTGAAACGCGGTCACGCTTCGTGAGGGCAAAAACAATGCGCCTTATTACGCGTGGAAATCACCACGTATCCCGTCCGCACGTAGCGCAGTGTCCTGTGAATCGGATTTTCGGGGGCTTTGAGTCGCATACAGTGTTTCAGTAGTGCAAGAAGGGTGTATTCTGTCACGGAGGAGTCAATTAAAGGGGCGCGCTACCCTCTACCAAACTTGACGCTGGCTGCGCGAATACACTTTGAGAATATAAATTTTCCTGGAGTAAATACATTAAGATCTTCGTGAATTTTTGTGTAGGAGGGAGGAATAGCGATGTTCGTAATTTTATTGACGAGGTGAATCTAGGCACTGAGTATCTTGCTAGAACAGATTTTAGTTCAAACTGGTTGCATCGAGGAAACAGATGTAGAACAGAATAGAGAAGTAGAGGGGTGGTAATGTTAGAACAGAATAGAGGAATAGAGGGGTGGTAATGTTAGAAAACGATAGAGGAATGGAGGGGTAATAATGTTAGAACAGAAAAGAGGAATAGAGGCGTGGTAATATTAGAACAGGGATAGAGGAATGGAGGGGTGGTAATGTGATACTAATATCACGGACAGGGTGAATCAAGACACTTAGTATTTTGCTAGAACGGATTTTAACTGAAAACTCACTGCGTCGAGGAAATTGGAGATGTTAGACAGAAATAATTAACCGAAGGGTGGTTGTCGTTACAGGTACATACCAGGGCCAATGGTATCGTGGTATGAGACACGGCTACGGCGTGAGAGCCAGCGCGCCGTTCGGTTTAGCGAGTCACTACAAACCATCGAAGCAAGTCAGGGCCTCTTTGACGTCTCTGAGAAGCGCTGACGGCGGAGGACCGGTCGCGCCAACACCGGAACCGACCGACAGAAGGGATCGTCGGGTCGACGACAGCAGGGGTGGTTTTGTGCTGAAAGCCAGAAGCGACGATCCTCCGGCGCGGAGGAAAAGCCTCACGGAAAAGTCTTTGAAGAAGGGTATTCTCTCGGTAAAGTGTTGATTTTAAAACCATCCAATTGCCATCAATAAATTAATATACAATAAACCATCGGAGCCTTCGAACACACGTCGATGATTTACTGTATTCCTAATAGTTACAATATATATGACGTAATAAAATAATTGCAGGGATTGAAAATCCGAAAACAAAGGAGCACGGGCGACTTGGAGAAACGCGGCACCGGAGGCAGTATTAGAAGCAACGCCAGCTCGGCGTCATGGATGTCGACGGAGAGCTCGCAGAGTCAGGCATCGGCGTCCGTTCACACGGACAGCAACGCGTCCTTCGTCATCGAGGTGAAGTATTTTCTCATTAAACGATCATCGACCATCCACTTACGCGAATCAATTCTCACACCACGAGATAAAATAATTCGAATGTTATTCCCCAATCCCCTAAGGACATCGTTCTGGATTTCAGGACGAGCAAATGGACGCCTCGGTGACCGAGACGTACCTAGGCGAGTGGAAGAACGACAAGAGGACAGGCTTCGGTATATCGGAGCGTAGCGACGGTCTTCGGTACGAGGGTGAATGGTTCAACAACCGTAAGTACGGTTACGGTGTGACGACGTTCCGGGACGGCACTAAAGAGGAGGGCAAGTACAAGAACAACGTACTGATCACCAGCCAGAAGAAGAAGCATCTGTTCCTTATCAGATCCGCGAAATTCCGTGAGAGGATAGAGGCGGCGGTGAACGCGGCGCAAAGAGCCAGCAAGATCGCTCTTCAGAAGGCCGATATCGCGATCTCGAGAACGGCGACCGCACGCGGAAGAGCGGAGCTCGCGGACATCGGCGCAGCCCCGGACTTCCGGCAGCCTGGCCTGGAGAGGTTACGGAACAGAGAGATACCAAAATACGTGCCACCGCCCCAGGACACCGTGCCAGGGAAAAGTATCCTTCACAAGGCGGCCAGCGTGGATCAGCCCGGTTCCACGACCATGAAGAGCCCAACATCGTCGTTGGAACCAACCACGACGACCACCACATCGGCGACATCCACCGCCAGCAATGTGATGCAATCGATCAGGCGGGCCAGCATGAAGACCCAGCAGAATCAAATGCCGCAGAATCAGAATCCATTGCCGCAGAACCAGCTCACGCAGAATCAGATACCGAATCAGGTGACTCCCGCACAGCTCGTGAATCAACTGCCACTAAGCCAATTGAATCAGACTACCCTGAGCGGCCAGAACCTCTACCAAACTCAGTACCCACAGCCGATGGCCCAGAATACGATTCAGCCAGGCCAGTATCCGAACAATATACCGAATCAGTATCAGCAAACCGGCCAGTATCAGGGTGGTCAGTACCCCCCGCAAAATCAGTTCCCTGTTCAGGGTAGTCCGTACGGTCAGCCGCAGTACCAACCAATCAGCCCACCCCAGGCAGATCAGTATTCGTATCAGCAACAGCCGACTGGCTCGCATGGCTACCAGAATATGCAGGCTTATCCGAATCAACAGGTGATAAATCGAATTGGATTGGTTGTCTGTGGTTTTCGTTTTTATCTTGGTATAATCTGACCAGGGATCACCGTGTCCCGACACGATGTCATCCTAATGACCCTGGTGTTGTTCCAGCCTGACATGTGACAACTGGCTTGTACACGCGTGTTCCTAAACGAACGCTAATCTCCTAATGAAGTGTGGCGGATTAACTGTGTGATTCGTTGCTTTTCCGGTTCGATTCTTTTCCACTCGTGCGAACATTCGAATCGACTGTATTCAATCGTTTCAGATGACAATACCCAATCAGTATGGGCCCGGTCAGGTGAACCAGTACGGTTCTCAACAACTGTACGGACAACAGCAATCGCCGCCGTCTCAAACCCAAATCCAGCAACAGTATCAGCCCGACGGGATTGGGGATCCACAACGACCATCGAGTTCAACGAGTATACGAAGAAACAGCAGGGTCTTGAGCCCGCAAGATCGACCCGGGACTATTGGGCAGACGTTAAACGACAGGTCTCGAATTTAATCTATATCGAAGGCATCGATATATTTTAGACTCGAAAGAATAATAAAATTATCGCACCGTAGAATACTTATGTTATATCGATTAGATTCTCTATCGTAGAGTTAGTTGCTCTCGAGTGCCATTTTTGTAACACGATCGGTACCGATCTATCGTTTCGCAGACTGGATCATTACAAGAGGCCGCCCAGCCGTGATAGTTCCGTGGATCGTTACGCCAGAGCGCATTCCCGGTTGACAGGATCGAGACAGCCGTCCGTCGATAAAACCATCACGAACCCGCCCCAGGATATGCTCGACAGGTGACTAGAAATACTTCTTGCCTTATTTCGGCCAAAAGACTGTTATAAAATATCTACCGTGGCTCACGTATTCCTTCATAACTTACCAAATTACAATTAACTATACAAATTTGTATGCGATTTACGTTTATGTATCCTCAAGATTTTTACTTTTATCATTTGGTCTTATTTTCGAAATGAAATTCGTAGTTTGATACGTAACCCGGTGAAATAAATGAAACAGCCTTCTATGAACAAATGTATGAGTTACTGTACTTCCTACTCTATCTTTGTCATGTTCAACCAGAACACCTGTCAAACTAAAGCTCTACATTCATCGAAGTCAGAAGAATCTAGATCCCTATTTACCTTGTCAAAGAATCTTCGAACCTTGACCGTTTCAAGACGTTACACACTCCCCCTTAATTCTAATTTTAGTATTAAGATTTACACGATGAATGGCTTTACTCTCGCCTAGACATTCTTTCTAACTCTAAAATCAACAAAATATCAATCTAGCAATGGAATTCACGATTGGTTCGAAAGGTTTAAATTTTGTTTGATTTTCTTCCGGTGTGCAGATCAACGAGAGCACCGAGCGCGATTCGATCAGGGACACCGCTGAACGGATCCGTGGTGGGGAGCGGCTCTGCGACGCCGACATACGCCGCCTCGACTTCCGGTCAGTTCGAGGGGGCTCTGCTGAAGAACCGTGGCCTTGGACAGGACATTCTGCCGAGCCAGGGACAGCCTAAGCGTACAGAGAGCCTCTACGTCACTCCCGGACGCGGTCCAACCGCATCCGGTGGTGGCGGAGGCGGCAGCGGCGGCGGTGGCGGCGGGGGAGGCGGCCCGAAGGTGAGTCTTTCTCTTTTCGTTCTTATCAACCCCACCATAATAGATATTATTACATTTATATTCCTATTTCTCACGCGACACCGTCGACCTGGCACTCGCCTCACGAGAATCGAAGGAGGAGCCATGAATCTACTTGGATCTGATATTTCACCCTTCTGTTTGCAATGTTCAATATTGGAGAATACAGTAAATCATCGATTAGTGTTCGGAGGATCGTCGGTACTGACTGTCTAGATGTCATCCCCACAACTGGATGGGACCCGTGTGGAACCAGTGAAACACCCTGTGCTAACACTTAGTGCCGAGGAACCTTCGAGCACTCATCGATGATTTACTGTACTGAGGTGCTAAAAATTCTGAATAGTGTTTCAAGTTTCACTGTGATAAAGGATAATATAAATATTTCCTTCAACATTCGATCCTCCACTAGGTAATGTTTATTATCTGGCAAATATGAAGTGAATTGAAACTTCTATGCCTCGAACGAAATATACGAATGATCCAAGCAGACTCGCGACTCATTTTCCGCTCGATCTTCCCTTAGTGCATCATTTTAGGCGTTTATCACTAGTCTCTTCACGAAGCATCCCCGTTACGCAAGTACGTTTCTCCGTGAAACGTGTCCTAGGAAAGGATCGTATCGCGATTAAAGAGGAAAGAAGTCTTAATAATCATTTCGTCGGAACCGCGATATTTCGGCGAAGCGCGCGCACAGGCAGACGAGAGACGCTTTTCCGCGGAGTATCGTTTCGAAAATACCGCGGGCCACGCTGAAACAAAATAACAATCGTTCGTTGTTGTTCGTTCATTCACGGTTCCTGTGCCGAACGCGGAGAGTTTATACAGCCGAAACGCGCGAGAAGGAGAGAATTTTCTCGTGAAAGGAAATACCTTTGGGCCGACGTAATCGTTTAGCGAGCCTCCCGACAAGAAAACGACGTGAGATTCCAGTAAAAGTAAACCACGGATCGACTTATTAGCCCACCACGTAGACTCTTAAAGTATGCGTACGATTCCGTAGATCTTTCCTTCTAAAGTCCCTATATACAGGGTGATTCACCTAACTCTATCACTTAAATTACACATAAACTGTTTGTTATATGAAAAATATTTCAGACAAAAGTTACACTGTAACAACGGGGGAATACGATGTAATAAGTATCTTATTGCTATTTTGACGTTTATTTCAGTAATTGTCAAAAATAATTTTCTACTCAGCGTTCAACACTCTTTCCAATCGCAGGATCAAATTTTCCGGTTAAAATACTCGAGGTGACCGTATCTCGATAAAAATGCAAAACAACAAAAGAACTAATTATTACACTGCGTGCCCCCTTTGATACCAAAGAACTTGTGTTTGAAACATTCTTTCATACAGCAAACAATGTACCAGTAATTTAGGTGACAGTGTTAGATGAAACACCCTGTATGTATAGATACTTTCGATTCTTCGTTTGACTCTGCCTGCTGATGATTAGCCGCATCGTACAATTACGCTCCAAGCAGTCCCTATTAGCGAGCCGAACGATCATATTCTCCGCATTTTGAATATCGTGTAGTTATGCGCGGTTAGTTGCTAGCTTGCTGACCCATAATTATCCTCTCCGGTCTGATTTCGATCCAGTAATCGGTTGCTCTCGTCCATATCGTACTTTCTCGGTGGCAAACCGTTGAACGACTTCACGCCGACCGTATATACGCTTCGAAGGATCGACAGCCATGATCGCAAAAAAAGCTCCCAGGCTACACACGGTTCCTTTAATTTATACACGCTTCCCTGTCATCTAATGCTATCGAATTAACCGATCAGTTTCATCCCTTCGATCGATATTAAAATCACGAATACCCATACCAACCCCCATCCCTTCCACGTCAACGCCCCCAAGTTTTTTGTCTATCTGTATCTTTTTTCTTCTTTGTCGAATTTGTCTGTCTCTGTGTAACTGTGTGGCATTTTGTGCTGTGTTCTGTGCATGCCATCCCAGGACGCAGACCGGACGGTCCCCGCCTTCACCGCAGCGTCAAAGGGCCGCGCAACCCTCTGAGTATAAGTATTATAATAATATGTACACAAATGCGATTATTAAGAGAGTAACCGTGGCTCAATCGGCCCGTGTTTCTCTCGCGTGTACAGCCGAGGCGGAGCCGAGAAACCGGGCGGTTCGCGATCAGACTCTGGATGTCCGAGCAATCACGGTATTTGGGGATGATGGAATACTTGGAGGCTCTTATAAGAGGTTATACGATTGCACCACCCTCGTGCACCGTCAGACCTTGGAAAATCATGAGAACAAAGAGTTGAGAAAAAATTTGCTATAATCGCGTTAAAGTTCTCTTGAAACCACGCTATACCTGCTAAAACCATTTTCGATCGGACTGCTAATAACAGAGTAATCTCTACTGACCACGATTCGTGGTTCACCCTGTATACAAATTCCACGTGGTTCACGAGTACAGTAGTTTAATATATTCGTGTCGCAGTGTATTTAGTGTACATAGTGTTTAATATCGCCCAGAAGGGTGTAATGTTCTGTACCGTGTAATCGAGGCTAGCGTGCTTGTCTCTAAGAAGAAAGCAATGAATTTTAATCGAACGACAATGAAGAAATCGATAAATGTAAAATTCGTAGTTGCTCGAGGATCCAGGGTCTATTCGCGACGAACAGCCTCCGGACGCTTCGTCTGTTGTGAAGCTTCAACGAACGATAAAAGAAAAAAAAAACGCACTTCACATTCCACCACCGACCAGCCCATTCCCCCAGTACACATTCCCAGACCCAGAGATCATATTTTACATAACGCCTCCGTTGTTGAACGATAACGGCCCGCGAGTGAAACGTTGACGGCCAGCCCCCTCCGGTGTCTAGACCCGGAACCGGTGTTTCTGCGAAGATTACATGTACGTTCTCGCGGTCGCAGACGCTCCTGGATCGATCAAACACAGCTACGAATATGTTTGAACGGATTTTAACCAAACGGGCACGTCTCAAGCCGGGTTGTGTATACTATAGGGGTCACGGTTTAGTCAACGAGCAACGCTCACGGTTTACATCGTGGCGGCCGTGTTAAGGGGAACAGAGACCGGAACCATTGTTTGGTGTGCGTCGAAAAAGATAATATTTTCAGATCGAACAGTTTAAGTCTCGGCGATACGCGCGCCAGACACCGCGGGTTTCGGGGCGAGGCTACGGTAGACTAGTTGTTTCGGACGAACGGTATGGTAGCTGATTTAGGGGATCAACACACTGGTTCGTTCTATTAAACGTTAGGTAATATTATATTTAGACAATTGGATCGGTTTTAATAGATCGAGGGAGACCGTTTTAGGTTAATAAATTGAACGTATTTATGGGATGTTCGGGTGTCATTTTTAGCCAACGTCGTTAGACGAAAGAATCGTCACAGATAGGCCGGAAAGGTCCCTGAACCGAGGTGAACAGATTTCCTTTGTTATAGAAAATGAAACGATGAACTCCTGGTGAAAGTCTCCTCTGAGAATGTCCGGTTCGTTTAAATATGAATTCAGAAACTGTCTGGTTGACTCACTGGTTCCAAATAAGAATAAACCCGCGAACAATGTGTCATCGTGAGTCATCGGTGATCTCTAGTCGAATGAACTTCGTGGCTCGCCGAGGACCGTTCAGTTTGCGGTAGAAAGGTTTCTGTTTGCCAAGCTTCTTTCGTGTATGCGTTTGCAGGTTTCGTAGCCTTGCCCCGGGTAACGATTTTTCGTTGTGCGAATTAGCGAAGCAGAACTTGTACCTGGTCGTAGATTGTTATTAGCTACTACGTATATAGATAACTCGCGGCTGAAGATCGATAGGCTGTTAACCCTTTCGGTGCTGAATCACACGTAGAAACGAAGACTAAAAGTAACGAGGAAAACATGTTGAATCGAAGAGAATCGAATACTTAATCATGGAATTAAAAGAACGAACGTGTCGATCGAAGTGAATGAAACGTCAAAGGTGAAGAACGAAATAGAAGAACGCGATCGGGGGAACTTTTTAATGAGGCTGAAAGGGTTAAAATCGTATTCGAGGCATTGAACCAAGCGAGCGACGTTCTTTCCGCCTTCTTGTCAGAGACAGACGAAATTATTTTTTTATGGGAAGCACAATAGACGTAGCAGAGCAATGAACACGAAGAATTCAAGAGAATACACACCCCTCGGGCGATGCACGCGATCTGTGCTCGGTTTGTCGAGATTGCGATCACTTTTATGCCCCTGTAAAACGATTCAACAGACGATAGAAAAATTCCGCTACCTGTCAGTTACATTTATTTAGAAAATTCTGTAACTACATCGTGATACGAATTCAAACAGACGTATCGACAGCTCAATCAAAATCATAACACGATATTCAATATAATAAATCAAATTTCTCACGTACAATCGAAATTGCAAGGATCGCAAATCGGTTAACATCCAGAGGGCACAGGTACAATAACGTGAGTTTGCGGAAACATAATAATTTAATCTTCCTCCGAACTATGTGAACATTTAACCAACCCTTATCTAACGATTCCCATTCTCCATTTTCTTTTCCTGTAACCTCGAGCAGTTCCGTCCCGGTGAAAAAAAAAAATGATCGGGAATCGAGCACGCACGAGCACACACACGCACGGAAATTATTTGAACCCAGCACAAAGTGTTTGTGTGTGTGTGTACACACGTCCATTTTAATTAAGCGAAACAACGTAATGATGTTACACGTCCATTAAGTAAGCAATCCGAGGGAAATCCGAAAGGTAAGGCTCGCTCGCTCGCGCGCGCGCGGTGTGGAGGCGGGGACCGGTGGTTTTTTGCAAATTTTTTCTATCGCTCTTGTTTCTATCCTCCTCTTCTAACAAAGCTTCGAACCCGTCCCTCTCGAGCAACCCCGCATCAACAGGGTAAACGCCATTTCCTCTTCCTCTTTCTCTCTCTCGAAAACCGAACTCACAAGGGAATTTCAGTATCATGAAAATTTTGATTTTTTAAAAATATTCGCAAATTT